TCACAAACAGGTTTGTAAACTGGGCATTTGATTGGCTGGTTTGATTTAGTAGCCAATCAGAGGCTTTGTTTACAAACCTGTTTGTGAATTTCATTATGAACTTTTGAACTTGGCAACGAATTTGCGAAGTTATGAACGAAGTTCGGAATCTTACGATGAAAAGTCAGCTGAAATTGACTGTAATTAAAATCTAAAATAGTGCCTGCCAAAATACAAAAGTGATTATTGTCATGGCGATCAGTACATTTTTCTACATGAGAAAGTACAACAATTATATACTGAATAATTCATATATCAGTTTTATTCCATTGTTCATATAACTGTTGTTGATTTTCAAAAAGAAAAATACACAACTACAGTATCATTATAATATCAACTTACCCAGCAATGCCTTTACAGTTGTGGATGCATCAGTCACCAACTGACCAACATTTACTTCCTTGGTGAGTCGATCTAGACACCGCTGTACGGCTTCCTTCTCCATGTTGGTGGATACAAGGCCAACGTGTCTCTTGTCCATAACTTCAACGTCAAGAATATGATTTGTACTTTCCTCCATGATGAAGTAACAAAGATTCTTGGCATTGAAGCCTGGTGAGTCACATTGACCATCACCACCAACAACAATTTCCTTGTCAGCAAACTCTACAAGAATTTCTTTCCTCATGCCAGACCACCACTCATTTATCTCTGGAATAAGGTATAGTCTTTGAAATCTGTAGTAGGTGGAACTTGACAGGAACTCCAGATAAAAAACTTTGCCATCCGCTCAATTTTAGAAAATTGATTGCCAGAGAACATAAGTGAGGTTGCTGCTTGAAGATTGTTGGCATAAATATTATTCACTTGAGGTGAAGAACAGAATCTATATTTATGCCCCTCTGAACAAACACTGTTGATAACCACAGTAACACCAATGAAGTGATACTGGATTTGACTTTCAGCTGTGCATCCAGGTGTCTGACATCGCGACTGAAAGATCTGAAGCAGTAAATCAAGAGAGCATACAAATTTTTTTCTTTTACCATTTTGTATTCCTTCTTCATCGAATACACCTCATCCCCTCTGGTGAATCTGCAATGTGGTCCAAAGGTGTCAGTACACTCAGTGGTGGAATGTGACTGTTGTTGCAGGTTCATGTCATCTGTCTCGTGTTCTGCATCTTCTTCAGTCACCATTTCAAAAATGTCATCCGCTAGCCCAACACTTTCATCATCACTAATTTCATTCATGACACTATTAATAAAATATATTTTAGATTTAACATGACTGCAAAAATTATTGTTGTGGTGCAGTAATTTATACAGAAACATATCTTTAGAGTTAAAACCACTAATTATGACAGATACTCTATTACTACATAGCATCCTTGAATGGAGATTAAATTAAACATATATAACAACTTACTCAGAGTCACTTTGTCTTGTCATGTCCTCTTGTTCAGCATTCAATTCTTCCAGAATTGACTTTGTAAGGTCATGTAAGCTGTAAAAATATATGTTACATTAATTTTTCCTGTGTTGGTGTTATGTACTCAGGTGCATATAAAGTTTGTGATGTTACTCGGAATTGAATCTCAAAATATGACATACCCGAACCAACCTGACCACATAGATCAGTTGGCAGAGCATTGGGCTAGTATTCCACAGGTTGTAGGTTTGATTTCCACTGTGGCCAGGCATATTTTTCAGGCTTGCCCAGTGTGGATATACAATCAGAGTAACATCCCAAACAAACATCATATGTTACCTTAATTATACCATAATAAATGTAACTTCTGAGGGCATTGAACTAAAAACATACCTGATATCTTCCTCTGAACTGTTGTCATCAGTAATTTCTCCCTCGTCATCGGTAAACATAGATGTATTTGCCTTTACACAGGTCAATAGATGAGCTGTATTTAATAAAAATAAGTTTTACTATAAGTATTATACAGACAGTACATGTGAGAAACTGATTTCTGTGGGTTGTGGAATAAAACCTATACCAGGTACCTTACCTTAATTATTGCTCTTACTTTATCAACTAGTGCTTTTCTGGCATTTATTTTTATTTCATCCCTCCACCCCCACCCCACCCCCACTTTTTCCTCAAGACATGAGAAAGCAATGTTACTATCATGATTGTGTCACTAGTAATGCAACCCTTTGAATTCATGAATTGTCAAATATGGCTATTAAAATACCTTTGATTAAGGGATACATCAGTGTCCACAAATCTTTCAGAGTCCTCTTGACTTCCCAATATCGGAGACACAGATGGAATGGTCATGGGATAAATAGGTATGTCCTTTAGGGGAGTTGATATCATTGAACCTAAAAAATAATAATAATTTATATCAATGAATTATAAAATATTAAAAAACGTAAAATAAACATCATTAGGATTTGTTGTACTAAACTCTTGGATACTTTATTTACTTAAAACAACCCGTTTACAAACTATATTTTACTCTATATCGAGTCCGTATTCCAAACAACTGTTGTTGTCTTTTTATCTTAAATCCCATACACCGAAAGGTGATTTGTCCCGATAACAGTCCGATCGTAATATAAACAAATGTAACACAACATATAACATCTCTCCCCAACTACAATAATAGTCCAACCCCCCTTAAGTTTCGTAGTCTTCTAAATAACTTGGCCTCCGTGTTGTCCGTCGTGGTCTTTGCCCTTTCTCAGTGCTTTCATCCGGCGTTTCCTGTTGGTTCCCCCTGTTTTCGTTCTCCGTCTCTCCGTCACTCTCGTCTGATGCGTCCTGGTCATCTTCGTTTTCTGCCCGCGTATCGGATGCAATCTTCCGGAAGTACGACGCGTCCCTCGTGATGGTCCACGTGCCGTTTATCTCCCGTGCAGTTATTCTCGAGCCTTGAACCTCGGTGATTCTCAGAGGTGTAGGGTTGAATGTCGGCGTCAGCTTGTTGACTTTCGTCTGCTTCACAATAACACTGTCACCTACCCGAAGTTTATGTGGCCGCAGTCCGTTTCTCATCTTGGCTTTGTATCGTTGGTCTCGTATACGGTCTATGACATGGTCGGTTGGTGTCATAAGTGGAAGTACTGTTCTCATTTCTCTTCCGCCATGCAATGCAGCATGCGGGCTGACCCCAGTCGCGCTGTGTGGGGTAGATCGGTACATCTGCAGGAATCTTTGTGATGCGTCTCTCAGGGGTTTCCCTTCCAGGGTTGCTGCCTGCAGGGCTTCTTTCATACTCCGATTAAATCGCTCAACTGTTCCGTTTGCTCTGGGCCATTCCGGAGTAATGTGGTGATGGCGGTATCCACTGCTTTGGGCAAACTGTTCCATCTCTTTTGACTGGAAAGGCGAGCCATTGTCCGACTGGCATACCGCTGGAACACCTTTGTTGGTGAATATCTTCTCCATGGCTGCGATTGTGGTGTTCGCATTAGGTGCGTTTCGGAACCAGGCCATCTCCGGCCATCGACTGTAACGATCAATCATGATGAATATATATTCGCCGTTGGGGTACGGGCCTTGGAAGTCCATTTCCACATACTGCCATGGGCCAATTGGTAGCTCCGACGGTTTGATTGGCTGGTCGTTATTTGGTGGTTGGACAGCTTGGCACGGTAAGCATCCTCGTACCTGGTTTTCGACGGCCTTGTCCATCCCAGGGAACCAGCAGAATGTCCGTAGAAAACGCTTTGCCTTGCTAATTCCTTGATGTGCGCGGTGGCTCAATTCAACAACACGTTTTTGTAGAGCGATAGGGACGACAACACGTGATCCCCGACAAACCACACCGTTGACCACACTCAAGTCGTGTTTGATTTCCGGGACCATGTAAGGTTTTAGGTCCTCGTCATTGTCGCTTATTCCCGACTTGATTGCTTTCACAAGTCTCTGGTAGACTTCGCATCTTTCTCCTTCAGCCCTAATGTCCTCCACCGTCACTGTTCCTTGTTCATTAAGGGCGTGGCAGCACCCGCTCTCAACAACGCTCTCCGCTGCTGCTTCGATCTCAAACACTCGACTTGATCCTGCTCGATCAACGTGATGTCGTGACATGTAATCGGCGATGCATGTCTTTCCCGGACGGTAGACGATCTCGTACTCAAACTCTTGCACGTCCATAACAAAGTTTTCGACTCTTGGGGGTAGCTCCCCGCATAACTTGTGGAACATATACGTTAGTGGACGGTGGTCGGTAACGATGCGGAATTTTGGCGCACCGAGCAAATACTTTCGTAGCTTCCTGCATGCCCAGCGCACGGCTAGTGCCTCTCGCTCTGTCGCGGAGTATCTGGTTTCAACCTCTTTCAGTGAGCGCGACTTGTACATAACGGGGTGGAAGGCCTCAGTCTTCGATGCTCGCTGGACAAGAACTGCCCCCAGACCCGTGATACTGGCGTCTACAACTAGTTCGGTGTCATGTCCGATTACATAATGGTGTAGTAGTGAAAATTCGCTTAACGAGGCTTGCAACTTGGTGAATGCTTCTTGGCACTTTTCGTCCCACGCCCAGATGTTCTCCTTAAGCTGTTGCCGCAGAGGGTGGACAATACTCGCGAAGTTCGGAATGAAACGTTCGCTGAACCCTGCCATCCCGAGGAAGGAGCGCAGCTCCACTTTACTTGTGGGTTGACTTGCATCTTGTAGATTCTTTACATTCTTTGGGTCGGGTTTTATGCCCTGCTTGTTGAACACCAGCCCGACGAATCGCACCTCCTCTACATCAAAGACACACTTATCAGGATTCACGGTGATACCATTACTCGTTAAGGCTGACAGGACTTTTTGCAGGGCTGCATCATGCTCTTCGACTGACCCGCCAATCAAGATATCATCCGCTATGTTCACCTGGCTTGGGATACCGGACAGCATCTTGTGCATCTCCAACTGGAGGATATCCTGGGCAGATTTGGTTCCATAATTGAGCCTTTTGTAGCGGTAGAGGCCATCAGGGCCATAGAAAGTGGTGATGTTACGCGACTGTTCGTCGAGGACAAACTGGTGGTATGCTTCTTTGAGGTCCAGTTTAGTGAAGCGTTCTGCTCCTTGAAATTTGTTTACAATATCAGCCATTGTTGGTATCTGAGTATACGGGCGTTGTATGGCTTTGTTGGCCATGCGCATATCGATGCAAAAACGAATGTCGTTGGAATCTGGTTTGGGAGCAATCACCGGAGGGCTGACCCAACTGCGTGGCTGGTTATCTGGAACTGGTTCTATGATGTCTTGGTCCAGGAGGTCTTGGATCTTGCTTTCTGCCCGTTCTGAGAGATTGACTGGTATCCGTCTCTGTTTCTGGACTACTGGTGTGACACTGTCATCGATCATCAGGGACACCTCGTTCGTTTTGGCTTTGCCGATCTTACCCGTGAACACCTCGGGGTTATCCATAATCATGTCGGCTATCTTTTGGCGCCTAGTCATTGCCAAAACTTTCTTGCAGGGCTCAGACACTCGCTTTACTAGGAACTTCTCATTATACCGGATCAATTGGAGCTGTTTGGCTGACTGTTCGGAAAGTAGTGGATAGGCGGATGGTTCAGATGTCACATATATCTCAGTGTCGACTGTCCGATCCCCAGCTGTCAGCACTGCCTTGAATGAACCGATGACCGCCAGTGGTGTCTTGCCCCCATATGCAAATAGCTTGATGTTTGTCGGTGTCAACTTTACTTCCCCCCGAGTCTTTTCTTTAAAGCTGCGGAAGTGTGCCTCATCCCAGACGTCTTTTTGGGTCCCGGTATCCGGCTGCCACAGAATATCTTGGTCGTTAGTGCGGACTCTCATCAGCGATGGCTTTTCCCTCATCCCAAGATTGTTAACTAATTCGATCTTGGCTGTGTCGTACTCATCAGTGTCGGAGTTGGTGTCGGTTCCGGTGTCAGTTTGGGGTTCTGCTTCGATGCGTTTGATTCCTGCTTCCTTTTGTTTCTTGAAGCACTTGCTAGCATAGTGTCCTTTCTTTTTACAGTAATTGCAGATTCTGGATATGGCTGGGCACTCCGAAGCAGAGAAATGGTTCTCGTGTCCACACCGATTGCACTGGTCTGTGGTCTCCTTCTGTTGTAACGGTTGATTTCGTTTGGCACCCACCTTGTTGACTACCTGTCGCGAGTCCCTGTCTATTACTTTACTTCGGGCCACAGCATCTTCCTTCTTTCTAGCGATATCTAAGATTTGGTCCAGTGTTCTGTCCTTCTGTAAAAATTTTAGGCGAAGGGTGTCATCTTGCATATTGCTGATGATCAGGCTTTTGATCATTTTCTCCGCCGACCAATTTGTAAAATCGCACTTGCTCGCTGCTTTACGCAGCCTCATCGCATAACTTGTAATACTTTCTGACGATTCGATTTTCATTCGGAGTAATTCAAAGATAGCAAAGTCGTTGCACTGTTTTGGTGAAAAATGTATTTTCAATTTGGTTTTAGATTGCTCATACGCGGTCCAGTTTTCTTCCTCTGTGCCTTCTGGTCTGCCTGGTTCTGGCAGGGTGTCGTGCAGGTCTTCCACCTCGGTGCCTGCGTATATTAACAGCGCCATTTTGGCTATTTCTGGTGTTTTACTAGGGTCACATCCGTTATACTTGAGGTCCCTCTCAAATCGTTCGAACCACTTTTCCCATCGTTTCCCCAGGTCTAACCGATCTCCGTGAGGATCGAAGGGTAAAACTTTTAGCTTGGGTCCTTTTGTAGCCGTAGCAGCTGTAGAACTCGTCGCCATTGTTGTACTAAACTCTTGGATACTTTATTTACTTAAAACAACCCGTTTACAAACTATATTTTACTCTATATCGAGTCCGTATTCCAAACAACTGTTGTTGTCTTTTTATCTTAAATCCCATACACCGAAAGGTGATTTGTCCCGATAACAGTCCGATCGTAATATAAACAAATGTAACACAACATATAACAGGATTGCATGGCATTAAATAGTAATATTTACATTTATTATATAGTAATTTAAAGCTTCGTTTGAGTTTACCTTCGGTGAGTTCCTGCTGGTCTGATTCACTTATATTTGTCGTTGCAGTCTCAGTTCCCTTGTGATGTTGT